CGAGCTCTCTCATGACCTTCCTGACCTTCCAGAAAGCCTGGGCTGCAGAAGCCCTGCCCGGTCCAGCTCCGGGGGCGGCCAGGCCAACTGCAAGATTCTGGACTGTTTTGGTGGCATCCAAAGACGATCTCAGAGCACTTTGAACCTCTCTGTTGGGTTTCTTTTTGTTCCCCACCCTCCACTTGCTTCACTGTTTTTTTGTTTTGTTTTTTAAAGTTTGTTTTGGAAATAACAAAAAAGATATTTATTGGCCAAGAAGTTGGTGCTGCTAAGACCGAGAAATTAAAAGAATCGGACAGATGGACACAGAGAACCAGAGGGCAGCGTGGGACCTTCTCTTGCCACAGCCTCAGGTCTTGAGGGAAGGCTCAGGCCTGAGTTTCTGGACTGCAAAGGGGACCCCCAGGTGGGAGGGGACAGGAGGCAGCTGGAGTGAGCCACTCACCCCTAGGTGCCCAGCTCACACCTCTCGAGCTACGCCCTGGGCATTACTGAGCAGAGGGATGCAGCAGCTCCCAAGGCTGCCCAGGCTTCAGGAGGCAAAATGAGAGAGGGGCCGGGAGATCCGCAGGACCAAAGGGTGCAGCGTTGGGCTGGGCTGGGCGCAGGCCCAGGGAAATGGGGTGAGGGTGGGCTGGGTAAGACCTGGCCCTCCACTGCCCTGAACACCACCCCAGTCTACCTCGGTGCTGGCCAGGAAACCTATTGGCTACCTCTCCCACCATCCCAGACTGTGGGCAGGGGGGTGGGGAGGGAGTGGGCCTGGGCTTAGGACCACCCCCCTCCAGAATTTCCTCCAGATGGGGCAGTGCCCAGGGAGGGGTTATTTGTCTTCCCTGTCATGGAGGGGGAACTCCCAGTCCAAGCCCTAGGCCCCTCAGCAGGGAAGGGATCCTCGGGGAGGAGGGTCCCAGGAGCATACCCTGCCCTCAGCCCCCACAGACACACCCCAATCTGAAAGCCATGCGTGTCCGTGTATATAGGAACTATGTACAGAGCCCGGAGAAGCCCCCCCTTCATCCCCCGGGAAAAAAAAAAAAAAGAAAAAGAAAACTAGACAGAAACTCATCTATATATTCTGTATCTGGAGTTCCGTTTTGAATATTAACTGTGTTATTTTTATACACTTTTTAAGCCTTAACTCGCCATTGATTTACCAGTTTAACGTTTCCTGGGTTTTTTTTTTTCCCCATGGGGTTCTCTGCCCCCACCCCCACCCCTTTGTTTGACTTGCGTCGTCTGATAACTCAGTATTGTAGCTTTTTGTCCGCATGTTACTACCCTGTAAATACGCTGTTATACATACTGTTAACACCCCATTTGCTTTTTTCTATGGGACCTCCAGGCCACCATATTTAGAACTAGTTACCTTATTAAAAAAGAGAAAACAGTCTGTTGGCTTCTCGGTCTGCATCTTGGTGGCAGGGAGGTGAGGGCACGTGCCCCTCAGTGCTTCAGGAAACAAGTTTGCATTATATTTAAGAAAAGGGGTGGGGAGCAAAATAAAAATCGAACGTGGGGTAGACACTAAACGGAGCAAGAAACAAAGGAATTCCAAACGCTCTGCTCTTTGTATTTCTCTGTTGTGAAGAATAAACTGTACCCACACCTGGGTGGCGGTGGTGTGTGACGTGCTCTGTGCGAGGGCGGGGCTGGGGGGCACCTTTCCATTGCTCCTCTCCCCTCCCCCGCCCCCCCCAGACTTGGGGAAGAAGGGACATGGCCCCTTACTGCGGGCTGGCCTCACCCCAGCTGCTGAGCTGAGTGCTTGGTTGGTGGTTACCCTACAGCTCCCTGTGAGGGTGGCAGCAAACCAAGAGGGTTTTTTGTTGTTGTTTTTGTTTTTTTGCTGAGGATCATGTTGCAATTAAGTGGCAGGAACGCAAATTTCACCCAGGTTTGTCTCAAAATGAGTGAGGCCTTTTGGGATGTATGGGGTCCACCGGTGAGGTTTACAGCCCCCGCTCCCAGAGGAGCAGCCACATCCATATTACCCTGCCCACCTTTGGGGGTCCATTATGAGTGCCCGGACTTGTGGAAGCAATTCCAGTGATTGAGGGAACCAAGTAGCCCCCTTCACATCCATTTTCCCCATGTGGGTCAGTGTTTTGATTGCCTGAGAGGGAAATGCAGGAGTTAACTCCCCCAGAGTTTATCAAGGCTGGTCCTCTGCTGGGCATCCTTAGAGACAGATGTGACTCTACCAAGAGTCACCGTGGAGCTCACCTTCAGGAATTCACTCCGAGTCCTCACAGGCCTTGGGTGTCAAGACTTGGCTGCAAGTGATAGAAAGCCCAATCCAGACAAGGATTTATTGGCTTACATACGAGGACAGTGCGGGTGTCAGGCCAGCCTCAGGGCCCAGTGGTGTCTCCAGCTCTCCACTTGGCTTTGTTCTCAGAGTCGGTTTCAACCTGTGGCTCCTGTGGGGTCGGCAGCTCCAGCCTCACAGGCCCCAGATTTCCAGCTGTCAAGCCTCTGTCTTTCTCCCAGAAGCTCCAGGAAAATCTTCCATAAAGGAGCTGTGATTGGGACTGGCTAGGTACCATCCCCGAACCAATCACTGTGGCCGGAATGTCTGTACTTGACTGGCTGAGACCTAGAGCCCATGCTCTAAGCCTGGAGCAGAGGGTGAAACCCCAATCTGTAGTACATCTCCCCAAAAGGAAACCAGACGTGTTAACGTCGGGAGGGGGAAATGGGTGTGGAGTAGCCAGGAACATGTTTTGGGTAACTTCACAGGCCTCCTTGCCGTCTCTGAACTCGACCTCCCATAGCCTGCTCTGCTGTGAAGGGGTGGGCTCCGGCAGCCGCCCGGATCCCACATGACCCGATCTGGGCCACAGCTGATCAGCCAGTGGTGGACGCCTGACTCCGCCGCTGGAGCCTTAGACCGCGGCTACCAGGGGCACCGGTGGCATGTACTGACAGTCCTGGTTCATGAGAGTGGACTGGGCACACCTCTTCCCGACTCCACATGCAGTGAATGGGGTTCGAAATCAGCCGTAGTGGGGTTTGTGCAACAGAAACTGGCAAAGGCTACAAAGGCGGGCTTGCTTTTTCTTGGAAGAGCCAGTTGCTAAACGCTTACCAGCACACCGCGGGCTGACGCTCCGATCAGCTTCGCCAGTCCATGGATTAGGAATAAGTTAGGAGATGGTGGACTCCTGAACTGGAAGACCGTGTGGTCCAGGGGTTGGGATGTGTGTTGGGCCAGACACAAGCAGGACAGGGGCAGACAGAAGCAGAGATGGACAGAGAAGACCGAGAGCCTGTGTCAGACTCCGTCCCTGACTTCCGTCTCCCATCTCCTGGCCAGGTTTCATTTCCTGCTTGTTCGCACATCAGTTGAGTTTAAGTTGCTAGCGGTGTGACGGGGCAAGTTACATACGTAACCTCTCTGTGCCTGATTTTCTCATATGTAAAACGAGGGAAATAATAGTAACCAATTTGTAGGGTGGATGTGAGGATTAAATGAGTCAATATATGTCTAATGCTTAGAACGGTGCCCAGTACATAGTTAAGTACCAGTAAATGTAATTGTGACTGTTACCATTTGATGTGGCTCTGTTCGATCTAAGTCCCTTATGATCAGTGAACTCCCGACTAGAGAGCTGATGATGTTTGGCAGTTTCTGGGGGTGGCGTCTGAGCTGGCCTGGCAGGGTGGGGCAGCGGGGGTAGGTGAAGATTTGACATGTAGGAGCGACACTCAAAGGACTGGCAGTCTGCTTTTCATCTGCTCGCCTGGAAGCTCTCAGGAGCTTCTGAGGCCTCTGAGGCCCCCAGCAGGTGCTGAGGACAGTGTTGATTGACAGTGATCCGGATGGAAGTGGCTGAAGAAAGAGCTTTGCCCCACCTTCTTCTTCTGCCCCAAGTCCCTCTAATGCCCCCAGCCCCAACGAGGGCCTCTGGGTAAGACGAAGGAGGGAGACACTCAAAAGAGGTCATGTGTTCCACACTGCAGCTTCCTTGACCCTTCTGCATCCTCAGGAAGGTCTCCACCCACAGCGTGCAGCTGCCCCGGCCTAGCATCTGGAGACCCCTGCCTGTGCCATGACTTCCTCTGTAGGACAGGAAATGGCTGTTCTTTTGGCAGAGCCTTTGCACTATGAACTTGCTGGAGAAGGGGCAAGCAAGGAGAGGGAGAAGGCAAGTTACATTTTCTGGAGCACCACAACCTCCGCAAGGAGGGTGATCGGCGTCCCCACTTGACACAGGAGAAAACAGACTCAGCAAAGGTAAGGGACTTGTCCACAGTCACAAGCAGAGTGAGAAGAGGAGCAGGTTCCCACCCAGATCTTACTAGCTCGTGCTCAGGTCTCTCATGACCCCTGGGGGTGGTGACGGTCGGTGTGGGTGGCCGTCGGTGAATATTGCAGGGTCAGGTGGAGGACCATGCACGCCAGAGGAAGGGATGTGCCAGCTCAAAGTCATCAAGCAATAACCTGTTCTCAGGCACACCTAGCCTGTTCTTAGGTCTCATCCAGAATCCAAATGGCCTTCTGGGTTTTGCTAATCTAGTTCGGGTAGGAGGCACTGAGGAACTTCAAACTGTTTTTGAGAGGGCAGAGATCTCTTAGGTCACATCATCAGTAAGTGGAATCTGCTTGTAAAGATGATCAGATTGTAAAAACCATCAGGATTGATTTATGCCGGAATTGCTGTCCTTCAGAGGAACAGTGGAGGCTATTAAGGCAAGGTCTTTGAGAACATCACATAAAGGATTCAGGGGACCTGGGGTGAAATCCCACCCTCCCAGGGCCTCAGTGTTCCCAGGTGTCAGAGGACAGCTCAGGGACTTCCAGCTGCTGCCTTCCCTGGCTCCTTGGAGGGCCTGATGAGTTCACCTCCTGTTCAGAGCCTGTGCCCCCCCCCCGGGAGGATGAAGACTCTGGATAGCAGTCTTGGGTAAGGAAACATCTCCCAGACAGCCCTATGGGTCCCACATCAAGGAAATGTCCTTTTTGTGGACACTGCCCAGGAGAGGGGCCATAAAGACACTTTTGGAATAATTTTATTACAATATTACTTAAATATGTACAAACTATGCTTGAGGGCGGGGGAGGTGGAAGGGCAAAGCAAAGGACTCGGATGCCACCACGTTTCTCCTGCAGCAGAAGCTTTCTCCTGTTCGCCCGGAGGCTACTGTCTTTTCGGAGTGAGGGCCAGTCCTGGCTCTGCAGCGTCTGCCCAGACTGACTCACAGATTCTGTGTCCTTAGGCAGTTATGCTCCCTTTTTGCGTCTCAGTCTCATCAAAAAGGGGGCTGGGGGTGGCGGTGGGTGACGGGGGCTAAAACAGCCCTTCAGGAGGCATCAGCCGAATCCAGTAAGGTCAGAGGTGAAAGGTCCAGAGGCAGCCTGACCGAGGCGCTCCTGCTCAGCGTGCGTCGTTGTCGGTCGCTGTTGAAAGTGGGGGAAAGGGGAACTTTCCCTCCCAGCGAGAAGCTCCCCAAAGGCCACGCTCCTCCTCCCACCGTCACGATCCCACGGCCGGGCACCTGGCCGGAGCGGGCAGGGCTCTTTGCGTCCAAGCTCTCGCCGCCCTCCGGGGCGCCCGCACGGCTTCAGGGGCCCCCTTCCGGGCCCGGTGGGGGGCCTAGTCGCGCAGCAGGGCGTACTCCTTGGGCGCCCAGAGCAGGCGCGGCTGGCGGATCTCGGCCCGCCGGCCGATCTGGGGGCTCCAGCAGAACTCGGGCGACAGCACCTTGGCCGGCTTGTGCAGCCAGAAGAACTTGTTGAGGTGGCTCTCGTCGTGCCAGCGCGCCTCCAGGCCGCGCTCGCGGTCCCGCCGCAGGCCCCGCGCGCAGTGCGCCGTCAGCCCGCGCAGCGCCGCCACGCTGCCCCCGAACACGGCCGCGTGGTAGTAGAAGTCGCCCTCGCCCGGCGCCAGCGCGGCGGCCGAGCGCGCGTCGCGCTCGTACGGCAGCAGCCGCCGCGGCCAGTGGTAGTGCCAGGCGTGCAGCTGCGCCACCGACTCGGCCAGCACCTCGGGCCCGAAGGCGCCGCGGAAGTGCTGGTCCACGTCCATGCAGAGCACGAAGTGCGCCTCGCGGCCCAGCCGCCCGCCCAGCGCCTCGTGCAGCGTGCGCATGCGCCGCATCGACACGTCCTGCCAGCGCGGCTCGCGCGCCACGCGCTCCACGCGCAGCCGGCGGCCCGGGGCCAGCGCCACGCGGGGCACGGCGGCCGGGCGCTCGGTGAACACGTAGTACACCACGCGCTGGCCCGCCATGAAGTGCCGCTCGGCCGTCTCCAGGAAGCGCGCCAGGTACTTCTCCAGGTATCTGCCGGGCGGGGCCGGTCAGTCTGAGCGCGGCTCCCACCCCGGCCCCCGGCCCCCGGCCCCGGCCCCGCTGGGGCTCCCGGCGCCGGTCCCCCTCCGGTCCCCTCCACAGCCCTCCAGCCGTAGCTTTCGCGGTGGACAGAGGCGACTGCAGATGGCTCGTCTCTGCTGCCCAGAGGGGCCCTGGGTGCCTTCCCTTGAACGTGGGCTCCCACCACGTGCCTGGATCAACAGGGTGCCGCGGCAGGGAGGCTGGGCTGGCCCTTCGCACGCCTGGCGGCCGTTAGCCTTTGCCTCGTTAGGGCTCTGAGCCTTCGCTTACGAAGCCCCAGACCCTTGATGCCGCAGGGACGTGAGGAAGCCCAGCTAGCTGCGCGGAAGGCTGCGTGGAGACAGTGCCCCACCTGTGTTCAGCAGTCGGCCATCCCAGCGGAGGCTCAGACCGTGGGGAGCAGTGAGGGGCCCTTCCTGCGGAGCCCGGTGGGAATTCCTGCCCACAAGAATCAAGAGCTATAATAACAGCTGTTTTCAGTCACTGAGTTTGTGACCGTTCCTTACATAGATAACCAGGATGGTCCCTGTGCTGGGTGGGCTCCATAGTGCTGGTGTCTGGGGAGGAGGGAAAGAAAACGGACAGCGCTGTCCTCTTCCTGGGAGTCTGGGACAAGAGGTGCTGTCTTTGACTCCCTCTTCACTTTAGGATCTTGTGGCCCACAGGGTGCCCTACCCCTACATCACACGCACACCTGTTCCATTCCCATGCTGGATAGCACCGCTCCCCTCCCCAGGCCTTACCTGCCTACGGCAAAGACAGTCAGCCCAATGGTGAGGTTCTGCTGGAGAGCCTTTTGCTGGGCCACAGCTGGATCGAAGGTGCCATTCCAAATAATGGGGGCCCCCCAGGAGGTACAGGTCAGGACGTCAGGCCGGGCCCTGGCCAGGGCAGGGATGGAGAGATAGGTCCGTTCATCCACCCATTTGGTGCATGTTCACTGCCACCTGCCAGGTGCTGGGCCCTAGGGACCCACTAATGGGTGTGACCCGGCCCCTGCCCCTAGAGATCCCTAACCTAGATCGAATACAGAGGATTGGGAGACGTGTGACCTGATGGGGCCACCGGAAGGAGTACCTGGCCCTGCTGGGGCGAGGGATGTGAGGAGGGCAGAGACACTGGGGCAGAGCTCTGGAGAGTGTGTGGGCGTTAGCTCCTTACCAGGGATTCAGGAGACCTGTGAAGTTGTCTCTCAGCAGGGCCATTCTGGCAGAAGGGCAGACACCCATGGGGATGAGGGTTTCCAGATGCCTGTGGGGTGGGGGCAGCAGTGAGGGAGGGGCATGACAGCCAGCTCAGGGCGCCTCTCACTTTGCTCTTTACAAGGAGGGAGAGCCCACAAGGCCAAGTGTGCAGCCAAAGAGCCACCACCCACCACCCACCACCCGCACTTGGAAGGAGCTGCTTTGACCCTGACCCTGCTGGTTCCCACACTGAGTGCTGGGGGAGGGGGGTTGTACCTGACTATAGGGAGCCCATACTGGAGCATCCCTAAGAGGCCAAGCGCAAGTAGGAGCAGCCAACAGAAGAGTCTCTTCCAGGTCCTGGGTGGTGGGGAAGGGCGTTAGCAACTCATTTATATGCACACATACACATGAGAAATTGTTTTTGTAATTTTAATGTTTCATGTTATTTATTTTTGAATACAAATATATCCTATTCGCATGGTACAGACATTCGAAGGACAAGAGTATATCTAGTGCTCTTTCCTGGTCCCAGCCACTCAGCTGCTCTGCGTGGAGGCAAGCCAGTATGACTCTTTCCTTGCGCCTCCTTCCGGAAGTGGTCTGTGCACGTACAGGCAAATATAAATATGGGAGCACAGTAGATACGCTGTTCTGCACCTTGCACTTTCCACTGCCTGCACTGATTGTCTTTGGCGTTGGTCCCTCTCCGTACCCGATGTGCTTTCTAACCCTTTTCCCCAGCTTCCCAATATGCCACTGATCACTTCAAGCTAAGCGATGAGAGCAAGCCTCACACATAGTACTCGCTCAGTATACTCTGGCTGTTGCTATTGTTATTATTCCTGAGCAGACCCCCGTGACCCCCTGGACAACCTCCCAACTCCACTCTCCGCCCTACAAATCCTCCCCAAGTCTAGCTCCCCCAGTCTCTTTCAAGAAGCCTGCCAGGTCAGACCCTCCAGCCTCCTGGCCTTTTCTGCTACCCCACTTCACCTTTCCTCAGCAGATGTATCTAGCAGATAGCTCGGAGACGCATCTTGTGGTGGGATGTGCGCCCGGGTATCCACCTGCGCGCCATCTCAGCACATGGTACCTCCTTCTGTTCAGTTGGCCAAGCCAGAAACCTGGCTGCTCCCCAACCCCTCCCTCTCCCTCACCCCCGTCTGCTGTCAGTCCCCAGGTTGGGTTGATTTGGCCTCCTTAACCCCCCCGCCCCCCTGCTCAGCTCCTGCTGTGCCCCGGCCCCCGCAGTGACCCTGCCTGCACACCCCTCACCGGGATCACTGTGGCACCAACTTCCCTGCTCCCAGCCACTTCCTCCACGGCCCCCAAAGCCATCCTGTAAAATGCCCGCCCGCCTTAACAGCTTCCACATCACATGACCAATCATCCAAGAAGAAATGCATCGAGGAGGCAAATACATGCAGAAATGCTCACCCTCCCTAGTAACCAAAGACGTACAAATTAGAACAGGCTGGCATGTTTTACCTGTAAAATGAGCTTTTTAAAAAGAAGTAAAAAGAGCGGCGCTGCAAGGATACAGCGAGGCAGACACTCTCACCCTGCTGGTGGGGGCAAAGGGTGCCGGATCTTTTGTGGAAAGCTGCTGAGCTATGGGAATTGAAGCCTTCACTGTTCATCCCCTTTAATCCAATCACCCCAACTTCTGGGAGCCTGTTCAGTATGGAAAAAGTTGATGCGTCAAGATGTTCACGAGTTTCTGCTAATTCATGCACTATATTTACTGGGCACAAGCTCAGAATCAAGCACTTGCTGGGTCAAGGATTCTGAGGTGAGCGAGGCACAGACCTCGTCTTCAGGGAATGGAGGCCGGAGGATGTGGGTGGCCAGGAAGAGAGGGAATGGGTCAGATGACAGACTGCAGAAAGACGAATGGAACACAGCACAGTAAGGCTGCAATAGCAGAAATACAAGAGGCTATGAGGGCAAATTGGAGGGTGCCAGCCGAGCCTTGACAAATGGGGAGGAAGTCAGGGAGGCTGCCTGGGAGAGGTGGCCTCTAATAATGAGAAGTTATCCAGGCAAAGAAGGCAGCTGAGTAGGGAGGGAGGCTTATGAGAAGAAAACAACAATGTACAAAAGTGAGAGGTGAGAGGAAGCTTGGGCTGTGCAAGGCCCTGCGGGCCATTCTGCAGGATGGAGTGTGTGTGGGGGGGGGTGCCGGGGGAAGGTGAGGTGAGGCTGGAGGTAAGCCAAGGCTAAATCACACCCCCCCTGCATTCCAGGCGAAGGGGTTTGAGCTTCACCTTGAGGACTCTAGGGAGCCCTGAAAGATACTTCCCCCAGGGAGTGATGCAGTCAGATTTTTATTGGAAAAAAAAAAAAAAAAAGTATTGCAGCTGCACTGTTGAGCCTGGACACTGGGGTGGGGAGCAGGGCTGGAGGCAGGAAAGCAGGCTCCAAGCCACTGCCAGCCCTCAGCTAGTGGCAGTGTGAGCCGGGTGCTGGCGGTGGGGTGGGGGGGAGTAGCTGGTGAAGGGCTGTCACGGCAGTGGGCTGGGCAGGACTTTCATGGTTCCAGGGCCAGGGGGCGGGAAGGAGGCACTGCCTGAGTGTCCAGTGGGAGGGTGGGGAGAGGAGTAAGCAGAGGTGCAGTGGTGGAGGCAGAGGGCCTGGGTGACTCCCCAGAAGTGCGGCTGGGAAGAGGGAGGAGGACGGGAACTGGAGGGGGCTGAGGGCCTGGGATTGGGGGCGGGGCATGTGTTTCTTTCATGAGAGGCACTTGGGCTTGGTTGCATCCCGACTGGAGGTACCACGGAGAAGGCCTTGAGTGGGCTGCTGAAAAGGCCCCAGCAGCCAGCCCACGGACTGACTAAATCACCCTTTACTGACGACTCTGTGGTCACATGGAAAAATGCTTATGCAGGAAGCTTCAATAGGAAAAAAAAAAAAGTTCTCAAATTGATGGGCAGTATGATTATAATTTAGCAGTAATTAAAACATACACCAGAAAATAAGACTAAAAAAGGAAAACGTAAAAGTGGCTATGCAGTAAGTTATAGTAGGGTTCCCTCCCTTTATTTTTCCCCTCCAGTTGTTTGTGATGTGCTTATATTGCCTTTTTAATGAAGGAAGAATACAGAGTTAGCAGTTTAGAAAAACCACCCCAACAAAGCTGGGTTAAGGCTTCCTACTGCCTGCAAAATCAAGTCTACGGCTCTTAGTCCTGTCCGAGGAGCCTTCAGAACCTGGCTCCTTCGCTCTCACATTTGAAGTGCCCTCACCTGACCTGGCTTTCCTACCTCTAGAAATGGAGACTCGCAGCAGGCAGACTACGGACGGTCTTGTAGCTGTGTTTGAAAAAGCAAATGCATGTCAGCAACCCCAGTGTTGATCAGTGGGGAACTGGATGAACGAGTTACGCTCATCTGTACCACGGAAAGCAACGCGACCCCTAAAAAGGATGGGGTGGATGTAGACGTACTCTCTGGAAAAGAGGTCCTGATGTATTAAGTGGGAGAGGAAATAAAGGGAGTACATACAGAGGCTGATCTACACCTACGTACCCAGGCATTTACAGACGTGCGTATCTGTGGTCTTTTATAAACATGTAGGAAAAGATCTAGAACAGCATTGTCCAGGAGAAGTACAATGTGAACCACATGTATAAATTGAAATTTTCTAGTAGTCACATAAAAGATATGAAAAGAAACAGCTGAAATGAATTTTAATAACATTTTAACCCAGTATATCCAAAATACCCTTTCAGTGTATAATCACAAAAATTGTGGAGATATGTTTTATATTCCTGTTTTGTACGAAGTCCAAATACTAAATCCAGTGTGTATTTTAGATGTATGGCACATTTCAATTGGAATTAGCCCCATTTCAAGTGCTTGGTAGCCACATAGGGCTGGTGGCTCCCCTACCGGATGGCATGATTCAGAAGGAGAGGCACCAGTTAGCGAGGGGCTGAGACTGGAGGGAGGAGGGGATTTCTACTTGATATACTTCTATCATGTTCCCGCGTGCAATGAGCTTGTATTACTTTTGTTGTTGTTAAAGGGACAATAGGCCCCAAATGGAGTCACTCCTACTAAGCCCCGTATCAGCAAACCAAACCAGTTGGCACTTAACTGCAGTTTCAACTTGTCCCAGAAATGTACCTTTAACCAGTCAATCTGGAATTACCTGGTCAGCTCTAGAGATTCTCTGCCTGATGGACCCCTGCCTTCCCCCAAAGGAAGGTGACCTCGCCTGAAACAGTCCACTCTTGGCTAGAAGCTTCCTTTCCTCCATCCCCTCCTGCCTATAAAAGCCTGCCATCTTGTCCAGCTCCACAGAGCTCCTTTCTGTCTTCTGAGATGCTGCCCGATTCATGAATCATTAAAGAAAGCCAATTGTACTCAGCTAATTTTGTTTTTTAACAGATTGGGTGGCACTGACAGGATCAAAGGAGACTTCTGGTGGCTTTGGGGACAGTGAGAAACACAGGCATGGTACCCATGAGCCTCTTGAATTTCTCGCTGTTTCTGAGGGCCTCAGGGAAGTTCCCCTTGGTTCTGAGCTCCACTGTCTTTGCATCAAGCTCCCGATCTCATTGGCTTTCCAGTCTGGGGCTGGTCAGCTGCAGCAAGCAGAGGGTTCCACCCAGAACCCAAGCCCCGAGCCCTCGGTTTAGTTTGCAATCCCCCCATTTGATCAGAACCCCCAGATTCCACACTGGGGCCCGCTGGTGGCAGCTGCAGGTCCCCGATTGTTTGGACTCTGTCTGCAGGTCCCCTTCTTTGGGCTCTGTGATTCCGGCCTCCCCCTGGTCCCCACTTCCACAGTGGGAATTGCTGGTGGCGCACATGAGGCCTTCTGTCCGCCAGTCTGCAGATGACTGCTGGCGTCCACAGGCCCATTTCTGTGGCCACTGTTGGTTTCTCTTAACCCAGACGTAAGGTAAAGGCTATTGCGAGTGGGAGTCTCAGAAGCCAAAAAGCTGCGAAAATTGGTGGGGTGTGGGTCAAACACTTAAAAACCATTAGAGCACTTGCACCTAACTTCAAAACTCATGTGTTAGGTTAGGTTAAGTTACTAGGTCTCACCAACCCCAAGAAAATGTCCGTGCAACAAGGTACACTGTAAAACATCACACAATCCCCAATCCCACAGCATGTCCCTTTCAGGTATGAGTCTGGTTCTGAGACCCAAAGGCTTAGCTGAAACATAATAACTACTACTAATAATGGGATCCTTAAATTCCAGAGTCAAGCACTCCATCTTCCCGCACACTGACTTGTTTTTGTTTTTTTTTTTAAGATTTTTAAAATTTATTTATTTGACAGAGACACAGCGAGAGAGGGAACACAAGCAGGGGGAGTGGGAGAGGGAGAAGCAGGCTTCCCGCT